TTTCTTCCCTTCCCCTTCTCTCCCTTTGCTTGTCCGGTTGCCTATCTTTCTGCCTCTCTCTCCCTATCTTTCGCCCTCGACCTTTTCCACCTCATCCATTTTGCTCCCTTTGCTATTCACTCTTTGTTGTTCTCTCCTCTTGCCATCTTTCTCTCTCTCTCTCTCTCTCTCAGTTCGTATCCGCTCTGTTCTAATGGATGACGAATGCTGTTTTCCCTTAGTCTTTTGTTTATCGACTCCTCTTTCTTACCTTTACCATATATAGATAAATTGATAGATAAATTAATAAATTACAAGGACAAAGGAAGAATGCAAGGGTAAAGAACCGAAAGAATGAAAAGACTAGAATAAGAATGGTGCTGAAAAAGTAGACAGCGAAACGAAACATAATTTGATAAAGAAAGAAACACATGGAATATTTTAGATAAATAAATAAATAAATGAAAAGAAAACTGATAAAGCGAAGAGCGGAAAGAGAAAAAGAGAATGAAGAGAGACTGAGAGAAGACAAACACCTCATCACAACAGACCAAGATATATTCCGACATCGCGAACCCTATCGCCGGGAGGATTCGAGAAATGGTTATGTCATCTCAAGACACTGATACTCATTCCGGCGACGAATCCTCAGAGAGACATCCTCCTTGAGTATCCTGCGCAGTATCCTATTCAAGTGAGGATTCTATGATTGTTCTGGTAAGACTGTTCCCATGTTTTTTTTTTAGGAAAAGTCTACGGTCGTCTATCCTGATTTCACTACAATGCCTTTGTGGATGGTGTCAAGTATAAACATGTGATTGACTCCAGTTTCCATGGATGTTTCTTCGAAATAACAAAATAAGGCAAATTATTAAAACAGACAAACAACAACAACAACAAAAAAAAGTGAGGGCAAAGGGGATGAAGAAGGAAGAGCCCGAGAAGGTAAGGGTAGAAGAAGAGGAGGAGGAGAAGGAAAAGATGAAGAGGGACAAAAGGAAAGCAAGGAAGAAATACAATATAATAGATATAATGTAAAAGAAAGAAAAAAATAGCAACTGAAAATATAAATTAATTGAAGAAACGAACATGAACAATAAGAGAAAAAATAAGGCAAGATGGAAAGGCGACACCTACTTGAATGTAACGTACCTAGATTTAGGGAAATGGCTATATCATCTCAAAGCACTGATATTCTTTCCAGCGAAGAGTCCTCAGAGATATATCCTCCTTGAGTTCTTGTTCAAAGTCCTCTTCGCATAATGTTCATAATGAATGTGTGAGACCTTTTCGATCTTGAAGTCATTTGAAGGAAAAGTCTGCGGTTGGCCCTCCTGTTTACATTACAAAATGGAAAGATAAGGTCGCATATCATCCATACGGAAAAGGAAATCGGAATCAGACGGAGATAAAAGTCTACGACTGACTACCCTATTTTCGTTTACATCTTTTCACAATAACGAAATAAGGAGAACGGAAGAGATCGTAGGATGTAGATAAGGAGCGAGGAAAGAAGAAGGAATTGGAGGAGGAGAATGAGCAGCAATAGCAGAAGGAAGAGGAGTAGGAGAAAGAGGACGACGAGGAGGAAG